ATAATAAATTTCCAAACAACCTTCAAGTTTCTCTAAAAAAGACCCCCCTTTTTAGACCCAACCCGCTCTTTTTTTAACCCCCACCCCCGAGAAAAACTCCCCAAAACCCCACCCCCCCCCGGGGGGCATACCCTTTAACCCCCCAAAGGGGGGGTCCCCCCCCCCCCCCCCCCCCCGCCTGGGCCTGGAACAGGCTATGTTGATATCGAATAAGACAGACGATCGCGCAAGGGGACTTGCGCGCATCCAATTTGCTCTTCAACCTCCATTCGCCGAGAAGCCCTGTGGCCAGCTTCAGCTAGTAAAAAAATGGCGGAAAATTTCACACCATTTGCCATCGAAGAAGAAATTGCCGTACAAATGCCTAAAAACATAGCTAGAATAGCAAAAATACAACTCGACGAATGACAACTGCTGTTTGAAGAATATCTGGTAGACTAATCATCCCTTAAATACAAGGTAAATCGACGTCTGAATAACTTGTTTTCTTACAGGCACATATAATTCGATAAGGTAGGTCATTTTTAACATAGACCATAAGAACTTGTTTAGTTGATTGCTTCGTTTTACCTAACTTAACTCACAGCTGTACCTACTGAGATTACAATTGCAGCTTTGCCGTCATTATTAGAAGCTGTTATATACATAATTATTAATTTTTTCATTTCATTTGACAGTCATATTATTGGTTTCGCCAAACCATATATAGCAGGTCGTGATAATACAGAATTTCAATTAGATATAGGGTGAAAAGTAAGTAAGAAATAATTTAACAAGGGAAAGAAAACGTGCAATATAAACTTAAAGCACTTACATGCAAGTAAAATCACATTGTATATACTAAGAAGGAGAGGAGAAAGGCACGTCCTCTTAAAGTTACGTATAACAAAAAACTAGTAATTTTTGATAAAAAAATTAATTATTCCTCGGTCAAATAACGTTTAAGTTTTACTGTTTGACTCTGTAGGAGTTTTATTTGTTTTCAGCTTAAGGAAGTCTTGCCTGTTGTTATAAGATTCAAATACTGGGTTTGATGGAAGATCATCGTAGCGGTCGGCAAAAAAGCAGGGACCGAAAACTGCATTTCTTGCAAATTTTCCTTGGCCACTAGTTTTTTGTTTGTTTCTTCCACTTTCTAGCTACTTTCTTGGCAGCATTATCTGCCCCTGAGTAAGCTCCTGAGGAGCAATCCAACGGAAGTAGCAGAGCAGATTACACCGCAAAAATTTAGCCTCTGCTTGTATGACCTGTAGCTATCCTTGGTCTTTCCTGTAGGCAAAAACGCAAATAAACTTCGCGGAAATCGATATATCAACCAAACCGAAACTTAAGTTTTCTCCATCTGTTTTACATAACATGTTACGTAGTTTCTTCACCTGCCTCGATCTGGGATTTTTTGGCAGCAGTATCTGCTCCTGAGTGTCTCAAGTGAATCCTTAATTGATCTTAAAATAAAATCGCAAATGAACCACCAATTTCATTGATGGCCCTTATCTAAGTTTTCCTTATCTGTTTTACATAACCTTTTTCTTACTATCTTCAAAACTGCTTTCTGGACTTCCCAATAACGCCAAAAATACAAGAATGGATTTATAGCGGAGTTCATGAACAGAATGGTGTCAGCGAAATGCCGCCATCTGATGTTCCGATGGTCTTTATAAGTCATCGAAATTAGGATGGAAACGGCCCCTGGAAAATAACAAAGAACCATACAAATGTAATACATAAATGTGTTTGCAGCGCGTTTTTTCACTTGTATCTTGAGATTTTTTTCCGCGTTTATACTTTGTACGGCTTGCTGTTGGGCGTGAATCTGATGTTGATGATGTCGAACGATTCGATAAATTGCAATGTAAGTAATTGAAGAAGTGAGAAGACATAAGGCAACAAAGACAACTGCAACAAGAAGAATAGTATTTTTCTTCCAAATGCTAAGCAGTGAGAAAATGAAGTTTTTACACCAAAATGTTGCTGCTACACAGGTTGCACGTCTCGAGGTCATCATGTTTGGATATCACATGTGATATCGTAGGGCCAAATATCGATCCACGCTGATGGCTGTCATTGTTTCAAGGCAAACTCCGCAGAGTTGAATAATGAGGACGAGGCTTGCTTGTGTGTCTATGTCTAATAGGGCTTTTCATTTAGGAGAAGTTATACTTGATCATCTTTTAAAATAGAATTGGTGATCAACGGTACCAATTAAGTCAGCGTCCTTTTTCTATTTCACCAATAGGTGTGCACCCCACTTGGTCAAACTTGCAAATATATTACGCTTATCAAATAATTAATTGCTTGAACCCCGTCACTTCAATTCCGTATAAACAGAAAGGACATAAAATTAAAAGAAAAGCTTCTTCTTTTCCCACTCCTATAATTTTCCCTTGCATTTCGACCACACTAGTGACAAAGAAGACCAGATCGACCAACAAGGAAGCAGGCCTGATACTATGCAGAAAAAATAAGTTTAGCAAAGACATCAATAATTGATGTTATTCAACATAACCCAAATAACCCAACACAGAAGAAAAGTATTGGAAGACAGCTGCTTCGGTGATTCATCCCTGTTTATTTGGCCTTTTCTTTTCGTATTTTTTGTCTGACAAGATAAAATTGTAAATCCTACTTTTACAAACAGCAAGTCCGGCCGTTCTTGATGTTGTACTTATAGCGATCATGAATACTTTCTTCACCGTTAGGTTTATATGTTTATATTTGAACGTTTTCTCTCTCTCTGTAAGACCTAAGTCGTGGTGTGCCTGCACCATATTTCCTGTTCATCCCTTTTTCTCTGCTGCATTGGTCTTTTGAAGAACTTGGGGTGGTATAAAACGTGAGGAGCAAACACACCATTTACATACAAGTTTATTGAGGTCTTCACCCCATTAGTTGAAATGAGCATATTATACTAGAGCTCAACCTTTCATTCCTTACTTCACTATTATCATGGGGATTTGTAATATAGTTCTTAATTTTAGTGAGTCTGTGAAAGAAATCCTTTGGTGTTACCATTCAATTTAAACCTCTTAAGCATTACTTTCACATGATACTATTTATTTAGTATGTAGTTCTAACTTTTGAGTCTGTGGATGAAATTCTATGGTGCTACCATTCTAATGACACCTCTTCAGCAGTACATGGTATCATTTGTTTCTCAGTATATTATGAAATTAAACGCGGGAAATTCATTAGATTTTTATGTTGGCCCTATTGGGATGGATGAGTAAAGTTTAGCAGGTAAAAGTTATGTAGTAAAAGGTTGATATTTATTTTATTCACTTTCTTCTTTCTAAGGTACTGCAACAGATGCAAGAAGCACAGACTAGCAGTGAAAAAGCTGGACATATGGCGTCTACCACCCATCTTAGTGAGGAACAGTACTGCTGATAAAGCACACTGTAAAAATCATTCGAAAAAGCAGTTATCTTAAAATCAAACCTGTACAATCATAGACAAAAGTCCTTGGGACAGTGATGCAATATTCATATTTTTCTGTCATTCTGGGTTCCCTCATCAAACAGTGCTTCCTTTTCGAAATTTTCTTGCCTTTCTCGTCCCCCCCCCCNCCCCCCCCCCCCCCCCTTTAACCCCATACAAAAAAAAAAATTCTGGAATGCACGTGTCCAACATCGTTTGTCGGGTGAGGGGAGAGGTTGGGCCTGTGTGAATTGGAAAACGCCCCAGAAATGCAAAAGTGTCCCAAGACTTTTGTCCATGAGTGTAGTTCTGTTTGGTTACAGTACAGTACCATACTGTACAATACACTGAGTTTCATTTCATAATGGGTCAAGGAATCTGGACTGTTATCCATGATTGTATTATTTTATAGTGTCAGTGACAATATTCAATATGTTACATACACCACGCCTCTTTGCCCTCTGTTACCGTGTTGGCCTGCACACTTGCCTTCCTGCTAGCTTAAAAATTGTGTCTGGTTTCAGTAATGGTATTTTTGACGGGGATGGGACATCATTCCATCACCAAACCCCCAACCTGGAGAGCCAGGTGTTGTAATAGTTTACGTTTACCTCGCCACCAATTCAATTGTTACCAAGAAGTCTACTCGCCACCACATAATAACTCTGCAATAATTGACACTGTTTACTTACTGGGATTGTTACTTCTTCTTCAAGTCCAAATATAAGTCTATTGATTTTAATTGACACCTTGGGTTGCACCTTCTCATCTTTAGTTTAATTTTTTGTGAAGAATTGCGACTTTTTTTAATACCTTAATACAGCTTATTTGTATCACTCGAGAGGTGCGATTTGTTTAAAATCCAACAGCTTTTCTTATGAAAGTTGGTTAATATTGTCACTTGAACTGTACCTCCTTAAATTACGTTGTAAATTTAAAGTGAAAGAATTCTTTTTAGAGACTTGTCCTCGTGGCGATTTCGTTGGTGGCAAGATAGTTTGGTGGCTAGGTGACCGGACTAGTACCGTTGCAATTCGTCTGGTCTTTCGTCCAAAACCTTCCCAGCACAGTTATACCTACCACCCACCAGGAACCAAGGCCCCAGCTGGCATAGCTTTTAGGGTCATCAAGGTACACAAACCTCCCCTCCATGCATGTTAAGGTTCAACGCTTTGGGAAGATTTTATGCTATGTGCAAGCGGATGCAACAGTGGTGGCCAGCAACTGCCAACACTGTTGGATGTTACATCTTGCACCTGTTTGCACCCCCTGTTGCATGTTGTTGGGAGTTGTTGCGCAAAGTTTGAACCCGGTCAAACCTTAAGCTATGTGCAAATGGACGCAACAACTCTCAACATATCCCGTCCGTTTGCACGGGGCTTTACATTTAACACCGTTTCTATTCCACTGGCAGGTTATTCACTTGAAGCGATTTCAGTTAGTTAACAACAACTGGGTGAAGTCAAATAAGATTGTTCAGTTTCCTGTCCAGAAGTGGAACATCAAGACAGTGCCATTACGTCAGATGGCGGAGTCACTACAGTCAATGTCAAAAGCAGTGAGGAATTGGTGAACGAGGAGGAGACTGAGGAGAGGAAAGAAGCAACCACACGGCAGGGGAGTGAAGTGAGTAGAGACATCGCTCTGTCTGTCAGATGTGACAAAGTACTCTTAAGGGTAGTGTTGGGAATCAGCTGGGATCTTTCATAGTCGATCATCTGAAGTAACTGGATTAACCCAACCAATCAATCGTGGATTATAATCAGAGAAATCTCTTTATAACAATGTCATTTATTTTTTATCCTTACTGGCCTATAAGTGTTGGTGTGTTGGTGCCTACGAGGGATGTGCTATGCAATTTTTGACCTATACAAAAATGAGGTTTTTCTGTCCCCAACTCCCTGCCTTAATAAGCTTTCTAAAAGACCTTTTTCCGCTCTATCTATATGCTGATTACTCAGTATAGGAGATATTGAGATTTGATTACTTGTCTTGTTAGCCTGTGTACACCCCCCCCCCCGACCGGCCCTTCCCTCAAAACAATCAGAGAGAGAGGCCCCCTCTGATTTTTTTTAAGGAAAGGGCGCGGCTGTACACTGGCCATGCCTTGTTGGAATTAAGGAGTACGTGATTTGTCCACTACTCAGCTTCTCCATTGGGTATTGTCATTTGATCTCGAAAGGAACAGCCAAACAACAAAGTGAACACGATCTATTTTGATGGACACCTTAAAACTCATTCTCACACAGCTGTGGTTATTTTAGGGTCTCACTAATGTAAATATTTGTTTATACAGGAGTCATCGTCCCAAAGTTCAGCTGGAGAACTAAGTTCAAGTTCAAGTTGAACTCAACCAAAACAGCAAGCCTCCCTCGCGCCACTCCTCATGTTTAACTCTTAACTCGGCCAAGGTTCACCCGGAAGTGACGTCAGAGAACTCTGCACCTACCCCTGTAGAAAGATCAAGCACTTCGGACTTCATTGTGTCAGATTCTGCGGAATCGCAGGGTACTCAACGTGAAAATGTGCGTAAACTGTTGGCTGCTTCGAGAAGTGAAGGCTCACAAAGTGAGATACCAACGTACAGGATATACGCCATGTCGGTATGTCGAATGAAGCTCAAGTAAACTGTTAGTGATTCGCATTGTTCAAGACTCTCTTAGTATTTCTTACTGACTCTGTTGGGTTTGTTTTAGTGTCACACAGGTGTTCTGGGCGGAGGTCATTACATTTCATATGCACACAACCCAAACAACAAGTGGTACTGTTATAATGACAGCAGCTGTAAGGTTAGTACTGGATCAACATGTTTAATATGGCGGTCATACTCTTTGAAGGGTTTCTCTATCAAGTCAGTGTCAAGTGGTGAACCTTTGTTATATTTCTAGGTTTATTTTGGTTTGATTGTAAACCATTTTCACGATGGCCTTATTTTACTATGGCTAAAGCCTGGTGCAAACGGACGCAACATTGTTGGCCAACAATGTTAGGAGTTGCTGCGTCCGTTTGCACATAGCTAAAAGTTTGACCAGCTTCAAACTTGCGCAACAACTGTGCAAACGGACGCAACATGTAACATCCATTTGCTGCGGGCTTTACATGTTGCGTCCGTTTGCACACCCCGTTGCATGTTGTTGAATGTTGTTGGGAGTTGTTGCGCAAAAATTTGAAACTTGTCAAACGTTTAGCTACGTTTAAACGGACGCAACAACTCCCAATGTTGTTGCGTCCGTTTGCACGTAGCTTAAGAAGGACACCTTTGAAACCGACAATANATACCAACGTACAGGATATACGCCATGTCGGTATGTCGAATGAAGCTCAAGTAAACTGTTAGTGATTCGCATTGTTCAAGACTCTCTTAGTATTTCTTACTGACTCTGTTGGGTTTGTTTTAGTGTCACACAGGTGTTCTGGGCGGAGGTCATTACATTTCATATGCACACAACCCAAACAACAAGTGGTACTGTTATAATGACAGCAGCTGTAAGGTTAGTACTGGATCAACATGTTTAATATGGCGGTCATACTCTTTGAAGGGTTTCTCTATCAAGTCAGTGTCAAGTGGTGAACCTTTGTTATATTTCTAGGTTTATTTTGGTTTGATTGTAAACCATTTTCACGATGGCCTTATTTTACTATGGCTAAAGCCTGGTGCAAACGGACGCAACATTGTTGGCCAACAATGTTAGGAGTTGCTGCGTCCGTTTGCACATAGCTAAAAGTTTGACCAGCTTCAAACTTGCGCAACAACTGTGCAAACGGACGCAACATGTAACATCCATTTGCTGCGGGCTTTACATGTTGCGTCCGTTTGCACACCCCGTTGCATGTTGTTGAATGTTGTTGGGAGTTGTTGCGCAAAAATTTGAAACTTGTCAAACGTTTAGCTACGTTTAAACGGACGCAACAACTCCCAATGTTGTTGCGTCCGTTTGCACGTAGCTTAAGAAGGACACCTTTGAAACCGACAATAAGTATCCGTCTATGTGCGTCTTATAGAGATTGAAATAAAGGTAGTGAAGAAAGACAGGGACCAACTCTAGGTGTCCGTTAAGAAAGAGTTGACTTAATTACAACAGTTGTCTTGTTTTATGGAGGTAACTAGGTTGGTAATGTTTTCGTTTACTTCTCTTGTTTCAGGAATGTGACAATACTAAGCTTCAAAAGGACTCGCCCTACATGTTATTCTATCAACAGGACGATCTGGAGGAAGGAATGTTTCTTCCAAACTTCAATGGTCAAACGCCTGACTCGGCCAGCGATGACGAAGAATATGAGAACGAAGTGCGTAGACTGTGCGTCGTTCAATGAAGGTCCTTGGAGCTGGGGACGGGGGAAGAATCTTATAATTTATACACATTTTTTGTATTGAAATCTTCATTCAATGAATACTTACGCCAGCGTAAATTATCAGAAATGTTGTAAATATATCGACACGGAGAATTTTATTTTTAAATGCGTTTAATGCAGATGATGAAATTATTGCAGTAGTACATACAGGGTCGCGCTTCCTGTACGAGTAAAATTTAGAGTTAAGAGATGAGAGACTGGCAAACGGGACCAAAATGCGACTGAGTAGGGAGAGGACATGTTTGTTGCCTCAGCCTCCCCTCCCCCATTGTCCTTAGCCCTTTACCTTGGTCTTGCAGGGGGTACCGCATTTCGTACTCTCTCTGACAAGTATTTGTGTTCCGTGTGCTTTTTGTCCGTCATTTTTGTGTAAAACATTTTGTTGGTTATTGTCTTTATTCTTCATACTATGAAGAAGATATGGTCCCTTTAAAGTACTTTAGTAATTTGTACTGTGAAAGATGAGGACTTCGCGCGCGAAGTAGCTGTACTTCAAAATATGCGAATCAGAATGGTGTCACGGTATTCTATGCGATCCAGGTACTTCTATTCTTGTTATTGTTGCTTCTTTTGATGTTTTTTCTTTTTGCGCAACAAAACGTTCTCTTATGAGCTGTCGTTTAAGAGAAAAAATTCTGGATGCACGTGTCCAATATCGTTGGTGGGGTGAGGGGAGAGGTTGGGCCTGTGTGAATTGGAAAACGCCCCAGAAATGCTAAAGTGTCCCAAGACTTTTGTCCATGAGTGTAGTTCTGTTTGGTTACAGTACAGTACCATACTGTACAATACACTGAGTTTTATTTCATAATGGGTCAAGAAATCTGGACTGTTATCCATGATTGTATTATTTTATAGTGTCAGTGGCAAAATTCAATATGTTACATACACCACGCCTCTTTGCACTCTGTTACCGTGTTGGCCTCCACACTTGCCTTCCTGCTAGCTTAAAAAGTGTGTCTTGTTTCAGTAATGGTATTTTTGACGGGGATTGGACATCATTCCATCACCAAACTCCCAACCTGGAGAGCCAGGTGTTGTAATAGTTTACGTTCACCTCACCACCAATGAAATTGCTACCAAGAAGTCTACCCGCCACCACATAATTGCTCTGCAATAATTGACACTGTTTACTTACTGGGATTGTCACTTCTTCCTCAAGCCCAAATGTAAGTCTATCGATTTTAATTGATACCTTGCGTTGAACTTCTCATCTTTAGGTTAATTTTTGTGAAGAATTGCGACTTTTTTTAATACCTTAATATGGCTCGAGGGTGCAATTTGTTTAAAATCCAACAGCCTTTCTTACGAAAGTTGGTTGATATTGTCACTTGAACCTTACCTCCTTAAATTTCATTGTCAATTTAAAGTGAAAGAATTCTTTTTAGAGAGGTGTCCTCGTGGCGAATTAATTGGTGGAGAGATAGTTTGTTGGCTAGGTGACCGGGCTAGTACCATTGCAATTCGTCTGGTCTTTCACCCAAAACCTTCCCAGCACGGTTATACTTACCACCCACCGGGAACCAAGGCCCCAGCTGGCATAGCTTTCAGGGTCATTAAGGTACCCAAAGCTCCCCTTCATGCATGTTAAGGTGCAACGCTTAGGGAGGATTTTATGCTATGTGCAAACGGACGCAACATTGGAGGCTAACAACTCCCAACATTGTTGAATGTTACATGTTGCGTCCGCTTGTACACCCTGTTGCATGTTGCAGGGAGTTGTTGCGCAAAGTTTGAAACAGGTCAAACCTTAAGTTATGTGCAAATGGACGCAACAACTCCCAACAATGTTCCGTCTGTTTGCAGGGGGCTTTACATTTAACACCGTTTCTATTCCACTGGCAGGTTATTCACGCGATTTCAGTTAGTTAACAACCACTGGGTGAAGTCAAATAAGATTGTTCAGTTTCCCATGGAAGGCTTTGATCCTTCAGCATTCCTGGCTAAGCCGTCCAGAAGTGGAACATCACGTGCTATTACGTCAGATGGCGGAGTTACCACAGTCAATGTCAAAAGCAGTGAGGAACTGGTGAACGAGGAGGAGACTGAGGAGAGGAAAGAAGCAACCACACAGCAGGGAAGTGAAGTGAGTAGAGACATTGCTCTCTCTGTCAGATGTGACAAAGTACTCTTAAGGGTAGTGTTGGGAATCAGCTGGGATCTTTCATAGTCGATCATCTGAAGTAACTGGATTAACCCAACCAATCAATCATGTATTATAATCAGAGAAATCTTTTTATAACAATTCCATTTATTTTTGATCCTTGCTGGCTTATAAGTGTTGGTGTGTTGGTGCCTACGAGGGATGTGCTATGCAATTTTTGACCTATACAAAAATGAGGTTTTTCTGTCCCCAACCCCCTGCCTTAATAAAGCTTTCTTAAAGACCTTTTGCCACTCCATCTATATGCTGATTACTCAGTATAGGAGATCTTGAGATGTTCTTGTTAGCCTGTATACACCACCAACCCCCCGCCTTCCCTCAAAACAATCAGGGAGAGAGTCCCCCTCTGATTTTTTTTAGGGAAGGGCGCGGCTGTACACTGGAAGTAAGGAGTACGTGATTTGTCCACTACTCTGCTTCTCCATTGGGTATTGTCATTTGATCTCAAAAGGAACAGCCAAACAACAAAGTGAACACGATCTATTTTGATGGACCCCTTAAAACTCTCACACAGCTGTGGTTAGTTTAGAGCCTCACTAATGTCAATATTTGTTTATGAAGGAGTCATCGTCCCAAAGTTCACCTGGAGAACTAAGTTCAAGTCAAGTTGAACTCAACCAAAACAGCAAGCCTCCCTCGCGCCATCCCTCATGTTTAAGTCTTAACTCGGCCAAGGTTCACCCGGAAGTGACGTAAGAGAACTCCTCACCTACCCCTGTAGAAAGACCAAGCACTTCGGACTTCATTTTGTCAGATTTTGCAGAATCGCAGGGTACTCAACGTGAAAATGTGCGTAAAGTGTTGGCGGCTTCGAGAAGTGAAGGCTCACAAAGTGAGGTACCAACGTACAGGATATACGCCATGTCGGTATGTCGAATGAAGCTCAAGCAAACTGTTAGTGATTCGCATTGTTCAAAACTCTCTTAGTATTTCTCTACTGACTCTGTTGGGTTTGTTTTAGTGTCACACAGGTGTTCTGGGCGGAGGTCATTACATTTCATATGCACACAACCCAAACAGCAAATGGTACTGTTATAATGACAGTAGCTGTAAGGTTAGTACTGGATCAACGTGTTTAATATGGCGGTCTTACTGTTTTAAGGGTTTCTCTATCAAGTGGTGGACCTTTGTTATATTTCTAGGTTTATTTTGGTTGGACTGTAAACCATTTTCACGTTGGCCGTATTTTATTACGACTAAAGCCTGGTGCAAACGGACGCAACATTGTTGACCAACAACTCCCAACAATGTTGGGAGTTGTTACTTCCGTTTGTACGTAGTTCAAAGTTTGGCCGGTTTCAAACTTTGCGCAACAACTCCCAACAACACGCCACAACATGCAACAGGGTGTGCAAACGGACGAAACATGTAACATCCATTTGCTCCGGGCTTTACATGTTGCGTCCGTTTGCACACCTCGTTGCATGTTGTTGAGTGTTGTTGGGAGTTGTTGCGCAAAAGTTTGAAACTAGTCAAACGTTTAGCAACGTTTAAACGGACGCAACAACTCCCAGCATTGCTGGCCTAACAATATTGGGAGTTGTTGCGTCTGTTTGCGCGTAGCTTAAGAAGGACACCTTCAAGACCGCCAGTAAGTCTCCGTCTATTTGCGTCTTATAGAGATTGAAATAAAGGTCGTGAAGATAGGCAGGGACCAACTCTAGGTGTCCGTTAAGAAGAATTGACTTAATCGCAACAGTTGTCGTGTATTATGGAGGTAACTAGGTTGATAATGTTTTCGTTTGCTTTTCTTGTTTCAGGAATGTGACAATACTAAGCTTCAAAAGGACTCGCCCTACATGTTATTCTATCAACAGGACGATCTGGAGGAAGGAATGTTTCTTCCCAACTTCAATGGTCAAACGCCTGACTCGGCCAGCGATGACGAAGAATATGAGAACGAAGTGCGTAGACTGTGCGTCGTTCAATTAAGGCCCTTGGAGCCGGGGACGGGGGAAGAATCTTATAATTTATGCACATTTTTTGTATTGAAATCTTCATTCAATGAATACCTACGCGAGCGTAAATTATCAGAAATGTTGTAAATATATCGACACGGAGAATTTTATTTTTAAATGCCTTTAATGCATATGATGAAATTATTGCAACAATGCGTACAGGGTGGCGCTTCCTGTACAAGTAAAATTTAGAGTTAAGAGATGAGAGACTGGCAAACAGGACCAAAATGCGACTGAGTAGGGAGAGGACGTGTTTGTCGCCTCAGCCTCCCCTCCCCCATTGTCTTTAGCCCTTTACCTTGGTCTTGCAGGGGGTACCCCATTTCGTACTCTCTCTGACAAGTATTTGTGTTCCGTGTGCTTTTTTGTCCCTCATTTTTGTGTAAACATTTTGTTGTTTATTGTCTTTATTCCTCATACTATGAAGATGATATTGTCCCTTTAAAGTACTTTAGTAATTTGTACTGTGAAAGATGAGGACTTCGCGCGCGAAGTTGCTGTACTTAAAAATATGCGAATCAGAATGGTGTCACGGTATTCTATGCGATCCAGGTACTTCTATTCTTGTTATTGTTGCTTGTTTTGATGTTTTTTCTTTTTGCGCAACAAAACGTTCTCTTATGAGCTGTCGTTTAAGAAGGTGCCTTTTTTTTTTGTCTCGGCAGCTCATTTGGGGAAAGTTTGCTGTGGGTCCCCCTCCTAACATTCTTATTTAATTATTCCATGTTTATTCCGGCGTGATAAAGCGATGACAATCTATGTCAATTGATAATAATCGATAGTAAAGTTTGTATTGAACTAGGGGCTCTGAATTAATTGTTGTCAATGTTGTTAAAAACAAACATTATAAATTGAGCGCCCTTTATTCAACATAAAAAAACTGACAATAATATACAATATTCCTGATTCAGCACGAAAGAGTTGGAAAAATAATGCGAAAAATCCAAGTCGTGGATCGAAAACAGATTGAAAGAGAGTGTAAATTTATGTGGCCCGTGCTAGCCGGGCCTGGAGGAACGCCTGAAGTACCGTGAAAATTTCCGCGTTATTTTCAAGTGTACGCCACGCGCAAATTCGTCAGTTATTTCAGGCTGAGATTGTTAATAACTAACGACGTTATAGTGGAATTATTCCCTTCCCTTGTTTCACCACCGTGACATCAAGTCTCTAACTGCCTTGCAGAAAAAAAATTACATCTAGTGAAGCCAATTTCAAGATCCAGCCCTTGATAACACGTTCAGTCCATACTTAAATGGTCTCCTCTTTTGAACCGCGAAGATTCGTTGCCTACATACTTACTCTTGACATTTTTTTTGTATTCTTCGTACTGATTGAAAGAACTTGTTTTACTTTGGGGGAGAATGGGAAGTGAATAAAGTTCACTTTAATATATCTTACTGGTACTTTGTATTTGTACCCATTTTGTGTGGCCTTTCTTGGTTAGAGTTTGTCAAGATTATTTTGATAGCGTCACAACGTTTACCACTCACCTCATTTCTAAAGTTAACGCTGTGCGTTTGGGTGATGGGAGATGAAGAACCTCTTCCTCTATTCGAGTTTCTTGACTTTCAGTTTTAAAAGTTACCAGCCAGTTACATTTCTGTTTGAGCAGGAGAACGAACAAGCAAGGATCAGTTTGTTTCCTAGTTCGTTTCGTCGAGGTCCTTGAATCCTCACCTGTTGTGTAGAGCCCAAGTCTCTGGGCCATGCTTAAATTTATAGCCAATTTTATAATAGATCTTGTTATGGTTTTTGAAAGCGTTCTTGACGGGAAGGCAACCGCGCGAGAAATTACAGTGGTTGTATGAGAATCTTATGTCGAAAAACGCCTGTTCCGAAAAGAAAAATTGAATTGTAAACTAAAGCTTCACTCCTAACGATTCTACTGAAAAAGATTTGAGGGCGTTACATGCAGCTACATTCGCTAGAGCCTTTTTATAAAATTTTCCAACATTTGTATGTAAAAATTTCTTCTTCCTGCCGACTAGACAAGGTCTATTTTGCAAGTAATTGTTTGTGTTTGCTGTTATGTTGTTTTCCCTTTATTGATTCTTTTTCTTTTGCATGGTCTAAGTGTTGGTGACAAGGATGAAATGTCAAAAGAACTATTCCCGAGTGCACATAAAAAAGTTGCACCTCAGCCCTCATTCGAGAAGCCCTGGGGACGAGCTCAGCTTCAGCTGCTAAGAAAATGGCGGAAAATTTCACACTATTTGCCATCGAGCAGGGGCACCCAACGACAATTTTCGGAAAAATATCTGTTCGGAAGACGATTTGAGATCTAGAATTTTCGGAACATTTGTTGTAAAATTACTTGCTTGCCTGCCTCTCCTAGGATTTTCGAACATCTAAAAAATGGTAAAATTGCCCATTTTCAACGGATTTTTACCCTAAAAAGGTCACCTAGAATTTTCGGGAGCATTTTTTTCTGGCTGAAATTTTCGAACAGGTAAGTTTTGATCCCTATAATTTTCGGATCACTAGACTTTCAGCTAGGAAATCCGAACAGATGAAAAATATATAGGGGATAAAAATATGCCCATATTCACCGTTTAAATACTAAAACACGTTTAACAATGCTATGTTTAAGTGGTTTTGAACTATGTTCTCGAAGGGTGCCCCTGATCGAAGAAGAAATTGCCGTACAAATGCCGAAAAACTCGGCTAAAAGAGCAAAAATACAACTCGACGAATGACAACTGCTATTTGAAGAATATGTAGTAGACTAATAATCCCTTAAATACAAGGTAAATCGACGTCTGAATAATTTCCATACATGCGCATATAAAATTATTCAGATGTATTGGGTCACGTTTCTTCTGTGAGGTTTAGCATAGACCATAAGAACTTATTTAGTTAATTGCTACGCTATTTCTTTTTCTTTGCCCCTCGTTTTATTATTTGTGAAAGGTGTTTCACAAATTTGAAAAATGAATTTTAGCTTGAAAGTCTGGTTGGCTGGTAACATAATCCGTCGTTTTACCTAACTTTAAACTCACAGCCGGCTGTACTTGCTGAAATTTAAGTTGCACGCGGCTTTGCCTTCATTAATAGCAGCTGTTATAATAATATTTAATAATTATTCGTCGGTCAAATAACTTTTAAGTTTTCCGGTTTGACTCTTTAGGAGTTTTATTTGTTTTCTTAAGGAAGTCCTGCCTGTTGGTCTAAGATTCAAATACCGCGTTCGATGGAAGATTCGAGAAGATCATCGTATAGGGGTCGGAAAAAACGCGGGGACGAAAACTGCATTTCTTGCAAATTTTCCTTGTCCACTAGTTTTTTGTTTGTTTCTTCCGCTTTCTAGCTACTTTCTTGGCGACATTATCTGCCGCGTGTGTATGCTATACCCAACGACTGTAGTGTTTTCTATACTGTTCGGAGAAGCTAATAATTTCTAATAATTTCTAGGTGACCATTCCATTCATGTACAATTTTCGAAGTTTATCTAATAAATTCCCTACGATTTTTGAAGTTTTATTTTTAACATTTCATTGCCCAGGTTAGGATATTTTTCGTACAAAAGAAACCTAAAATTTTCGGATTCAAAAATGTGATGGAGAGAAGAATCAAAACAATTTTTCACTTTCGTAATGCGCTAAATTGCATCTGAAATTTTCGGGGAAATAATACCGAAGCCCTTGCAATTTCGAAAAGACTTAAGTTCCCCTAGAATGACCCAACAGATAGAAATTTTATAGCGCCGTTTAGAACGCAGCAGGCGCTTGGAAGTAGTGGGCGAAAAAGAGAACGGGCGCGCGCGAGGGGGAGACGCGCCAGTTTTTTCTTGTGGCCACTAATTCCAAGCGCCTGCTATGCAGGCTATAAGAAGTACTCTAGATAGTCTAAAAAAGTGTTTTCAACACATTCGGTAGGTAAACCGTCCTTCGGTGCCCCTGAGGAATTCAGTGGAAGTTGCAGGCCAGTTTACATCGCCAGAAAATGTAGCCTCAGCTCGTAGGAACTTAAGTTTTCTCCATCTGTTTTACATATTAAACATTTTACGTAGTTTCTTCAAAACTGCCTCGATCTCAGTTTTTTGGGCGGCAGTGTCTCAAGTGAATCCTTGATCTTAGAATAAAAACGCAAATGAACCACTAACTTCATTGATCGCCGTTATTCAAGTTTTCCTCATCTGTTCCGCATAATATTTTTCGAAGTATCTTCAAGACTGCTCTCCGGATTTCCCGATTACGCCAAATATACAAGAATGGATTTATAGCAGAGTTCATAAAGACAATAGTGTCGAGATACAAACTGATGTTCAAATGTGGTTCATAAGTCACCGTAATTAGGGTGGATACAGCCGATGGAAAATAACAAAGAAGCATACAAATGTAATATATAAATGTGTTTAGAGCGCGTTTCTTCGCTTGTAACTTGCGGTTTTGTTCCGCATTCATACTCTGTACGGCTTGCTGTTGGGCGTGAATCTGATGTTGATGGTGTCGAACGATTCGATAAATTGCATTGTAAGTAATTGAAGAAATGAAAAGACATAAGGCAATAAGGACGACTGCAACAAGAAAAATAGTCTTTCTCTTCCAAATGCTAATCAGTGATAAAATGACGTTTTTACACCAAAATGTTGCTGTAACGTACATTGCACGTTTAGAGGTCATCAAATTCGGATATCGCATGTGATATCGTAGGGCGATATATCGATCCATGCTGATGGCTGTCATTGTTTCAAGGGAAACACCGCAGAGTTGAAAAGTGAAGAAGAACCTTGCTTGTAACAGAGGTGAGTAAGAACTGCTTCCAGAAAGGATATAAAACCTTGCGATGGCAATGTTAACTGGAAGAAGGAGAAACCCAACGAAAAGATCAGAAACAGCAAGACTGCACAGCAAAATGGTAGACGGAGTGTGTAGGGATGGATTTCTCCATACGGAGGCTAGTACCAAAACATTGCCAGCGATGCATATTGGTATCAGTAGAGCATTGAGGACACTATTCGGTATGATTACAGAGGTCTCTTCGTCACTCTCCAACCCACCAGGCATCATATCAACAGTAGAGTTTGCCATCTCAAATTTTTCAATTTTGTCCCGTATTTCTCTTGAAAGAGAAACTGCATATTATTTTTTATACTCTTTCACCTGGCATCTTATTAAAATTCTAACCACCTTGCCAGCATTTACTTCTTTAACTTATTTCTAATAGGGCTTTTCATTTAGGAGAAGTTATACTTGATCATCTTTTTTAAAATGGAATTAATGATGAATGGTACCAATTAAGTCAGCGCCCATTTTCTAATTGACCCCATTTCACCAGTAGGTGTGCACCCCACTTTGGCAAACTTGCAAATATATTACGCCGATCAAATAAAACTAAATAATTAATTGCTTTAACCCCGTCACTTCGATTCCGTAAACAGAAAGGACATAAAATAAAAAGAAAAGCTTCTTCTTTTCCCACTCCTATAATTCTCCCTTGCATTTCGACCATACTAGTGACAAAGAAGACCAGAGCGACCAACAAGGAAGCAAACCTGATACTACGTAGAATAAATTAGTTTAGCAAAGACATCAATTCAACATAACCCAAATAATCCCACACAGCAGGGAAGCATTGGAAGACAGCTGCTTCAGTCATGCATCCTTGTTTATTTGGCCTTTTCTTTTCGTATTTTTTGGGTGGCAAGATAAAATTGTAAATCCTACTTTTACAAACAGCAAGTATCTTGAAAAGTTTCTTCGCCGTTAGGTTTATCTCAACCGTCAACCCAATTCGCAGAAAAAAAATTGGCGGAGGAAAATTTAGGAAAGATCCTACTTGATTTGAGACACCCTTTCTTGCAAGCCACCCCCCCCCCCCCCCCCCCCCCCCCCCCCCCCCCCCCCCCCCCCTTTCACACAACCCCCCCCCCCCCCCCCCCACACAAAAGAAAAAAAAAAAAAGGAAAAGGCGGGGGGGGAAACGGGAAAAGACGTCCGCTGTCCTTCTCTATTCTATAGAACT